ATAGTGAAATACGGAGTAATACATGGAATACAGAGGGAGCTTACTGCTTTTGGTATTCGGTCGGGTGCTACTGCTTATGGGGTTCGGTCATTTCGGTCCGGACCGAAATAAATTCGGGTTTGGACCGGACCGGACCGATACCCGAAATCAGAAATTAATTGGACCTAAGACCGGACCTAAATGTTATCGGTCCGGGTTCGGTCTGGACCTATCGGTCCGGTTCGATCGGGTTTTTCGGTCTGGACCTAAACATTAACACCCCTAATTGCTCCATCCGTCCCCAAAAATTGTACAGTTTGACTTTTTTTGTCAAATTGTGACACTTTTTTTACCATGAATTAAAAATAGTTTAAAATAAATAAATATTATACAAATTTGATATTTCAAAACTATATTTTAAAATCAATCCAGTGTTACTAAATTTACATTATAACTACATATATTTTTTTCATAATTTACGATCAAAATATATATAATTTGACTAAAAAAAAGCAAACTATCTTAATCTTACAGAGGGAGTAGAAAGCTAAGAGCATCTCCAACCATGCTTACTATATTGGCTTGCTAATTTAATATTTTAGCAAGTGAATAGTGATATAGCAAGAAACTTTTTGTTTCATTTTCTAACCATAAGTTGCTAATCCATTTTATAACTCTTAGCTTGCTATATTTTGAAAAACTTGTTATATTTAGCAAGCCAACCTCATTCTTTAGCAAGCTTGCTATAATATAACACAATCATTGGAGATGAAAAAATGATTGGCTTGCTATATCATAGCTTTTAACAAGCCAAAATGGAATGATTGGAGATGCTCTAAATACCCAATAAAATCCATTTTTTTTGGAATCTAATCTTTACGGTATGAACCAAACCTTATTCCTTTGTTAAGAAAGTTCCTGAGAGGGTAGAGTTGATCCAGAATATCTTTTCTTTCATTTTCTCTTGACCAATATGAATTTAACCAAAATGTGCAAAAGCTCAATTTGCCCCTACCATTAATCTCTTCCTTTTTACGTATTGAAAAGAAAAGCAAGACAATTAATTCATGACGCTTTTTGCATATTGAAAAGAAAAGCCAGAAGATTAATTCAGGACGAAGGAAGTATGTTAGCTTGAATGTCAGTTACAAGAGAACTTACGAAAGAAGCAAAACAAAACAAAATGAAAGATTATTTGAATAAGCCATTATTAGAAAAAAGCAAATATACATCAAGGTTTAAGGTGCATGAAAAACTAACAAAACAACCAAAATAGAAAGGTTCCATATCTCATGAGTCATGACACTAAGGCCCCGTTTGGTACATGGAATTCAAGCTATGGAATTAGAATTGAGGACTTCAATTCCAATTCTGGTGTTTGGTAGAACAAAAATTATGTGGATTTGGAATTGATAGTGCAAAAATGATTTCAAATTGGCAGAATTCAATTTTATGGAATTGAATCCCATGGAATCTCAATTTCAATTCAATTCTAATTCCGTCAATTCCATATACCAAACGGACCCTAAATAAGTTGGTAGGAAGTAATAAAAGAAATCCATCGCCGTAAAGTAACAGTGTTACCGGTCAGTCCAGCTACATCAGCACCCACGGTAGAACTACATGGAAGTCTTGAAGCCGCCTCACGGTCAAACTGCCCGAAGGGTGCCCGACTTTTAGCTCTCTGATGGATTTCTTGGCATCAAGTTCCTATCTCTCTGAAAACAAGATTACGTAATATAAAATCATATACAAGAGTAAGATAGCGCTTCCCTGTTGAATGTGGGAGGAAGAGTATGTTGTATACATATAGTATTTTGTTAGAGTTTCTTTGGCAGGTTGTAATTCTTCTTGATGAACTTTGTTGCAGCCTTGTCATTGCGATGACACAGAACACGAAGAACGGTGTTGGGCTCAGTTGGACTCCAGTGACCTGTGGTGGGAGGCAATGTCAGCATGGTTTTGCCGGTTTTGCCTGAGGGATTATAATTATCTTCAATCAGAAGATGGAATTGTGTGATGAGACTCTCTGTGTCAGTATGAAGAAGATGAAGAATGCCTTTTATGTTTGCAGAATGTTTGTCGATTAGATCAGCTTGAAGGCCATGGCCGTCCGACCAGAATAAATCCACAAGAAACTTGAAATCCTCCTCTACTATGCCAGCATCTTGAACAGAAAAGGCACGGGGAGGATCGCCAGCAAGCAAAACCAACAAAATCCCCTCAAATGATGCTTTCATTACGTCAGTGATCACGCGGGTCCGCACCCTGTCATGAACAGTTGATGATATGAACTCCAAGACTAGATCAAGCTCTTGAAGGAATGGTTCAATGCGGGATGATGAAACATTACCCACATAGAGGTAATCCCAAAACACGTGGCTCAGATCATGAAAGACAACTTTGTATGCAGCTGCTTCAGAAAGCTGCTTTATACCTTGCACACAAGCAGATACAGAAAGCTCAAAACTTCTCCCCAATCTATTGGGCACATTGTCATCATCATCATCAACAACACATCCACTGTCTCTCAGCTGCAAAATAGTCCTCTTTTCCAATACATCCAGTTGCTTACGTATGTCATGCAAAGTATTGATGCGGACACATAACTGTGGCAATCCAAAGGGATCAGTACTGTCCACAGCTGAGAAGTGGAGGTTTTTTTGCTGAACCGTATTTGGTTTTTCTTTCTTCTTGAATACACCATGTTTTGTTCCAGCGGCACAGCTAGTCAATGCCGGCATAGCTGGGGTTAAAGTACTTGGAGATCCTATTATTTGATTATGGAAAAAGTTTTAGAATGAACCAATAATATGTTAAAACGCATATCTTGCAGTGTCTGCATGACTACCTCACACTTACCACATCCAGATTGGACATTCAATATGTAGCTCTGCATGCACCGATCAAGACCACTCATCAACTCGGGAAGCAAGGCAGGATGCATAGGAATTGGCAACAAGAAGAATGCTTCTAAAGTCTCATCAATAACACGCAAAGTCTCCACACCAGAGGGAGCAACCCGCTCTTGATTTGCCTGAGGATTCCAAATCTACAAAAAACATTGTAGTAATTAGCCCATTCCAAGGATACGTAAACGTTGGATATCCATAACAAATTATATTATCACTGCTCCAAAATGCCACTTTTTTTATTTTTACTTTAGAAAAGTCAGTGGTTCAGATTACAATGTCTATATTCAACCCAAAGTGAGGTAAATGATCAAATGGAACGGGGGATGTACCTCTTGTTGCAGATTTCTGTCGACCCATTCTCTTAGTCTCTCTACCCTTGTTCTTACCCACGACTTTACCAAGTCCGAAATTACAGCTTCTGCCTCAAAAGGAATCATTTCTTGGATTAGTGCCTTTCCTCCATCATCACTGTCTTCGGCATCTGCAACTGCCATCTTTACAAGATTTTTTTCCAACTTGTCTGCAGCTATAAGTACCTGTACAGCATCTGGTGTCAACTCATTGACGCTGGAAACAAATTTCTTTAGTTCATTCCCATAGCATACATGAAGAGTAGCCACAGCTACACCAGTTGCAAGCGGGTGATATCTCTTCATTACTGGACTGTATATTTCTTTTTCATTAAAAGCCAGATCACTAGTATTCTGCGCAAGGACTGAAAGGATTGGAATAGAGCTCCGCTGAATCTTAGAAGACTTCCTGGATGAGATCAATTTCTTATTTTCCTGTCTTTAGATAGAAGAATAGAATTTAGTAATATATATGTACACACACACACACACGCATGCATTTCATTTTAGTTTTAGGCAATATCCGAGTAGATGAGTAACAGAAGACAGTTACCAATACTAATTTGGAACAAAGAGAAAATATGGCATAACCAACCCAAAAATGCCCAATTAGACATACAAACAACAACAACCCAGTTGGATCCCAGTTGGATCCCACGACATAATTTAAGCAAAAAGAAATGAAAGGGAATGTTTACTTATGCTTTCTATTTTCTGAGAAATTTCTTTTCTGTTTTCCACTTCATATTTCTCTTTGTTCTGTCTATTGCTAATGGATCTAAAAGAGTTATTGTTGACAATGTTTAAGGTTTAGCACATAATCGACTAAATAAAAATGGCACATTAAACTCCCCTTGCTTCTTATTTCTATGAAGTTTTGGGCAGTAAATGCAGCAATGCATGTAGGAGCTAAAGGACATAGTCTCTCTGATTCTCCAAGGGTAAGTCTGCATACATCTTGAACCCCACGGAGTTGGGATTATACTCGATTGTTGTTGTTTTATAATATTTCATTTTCTATCTTTTATTTTTTGTATTGGAAACATGTTTCCAACACATTTCTTATAGGATACATGTTAGGACCGCCCAAGTTAGTCAATATTGTGTTTTAGTTTGTGAAATTGTATGAGTCTACACGACATGTTGTCATTTGGTCAATTGCATTCAGATCACAGAAAGAACCAGATAATTCCCTAGATTGTTAAGAACAAAACGTACTAATGTGTAAAAATGCATGGATCAACGCTAGGATCGCATGACTTCTGCGATCCAACTTATCTTTTGCCGGGTAAGAAGAAAACTTGTCAGAAATACTAAAGTCGCACCTCGTCCACTTCCAAGGTCAATCAACAGTATTAATACTCTTTCACGGTGGCTTCTACTTCCCCAAGAGACCACCAGCATGTCTGGTTCAAACTTCTCTCTCACTCTCCTGTTTGATTTTTCTCTCTCGCTCTGTGGTTGACTTCACTCTCTAGCACCGAAGGAGAACATTTCGTCTCGTTTTCCTCTGGTCTAAGTTCTCTTTTCTTACGACAGAATATCCATCACCAATGCAACCAAGAAAGACTAAGGGCCATCCACAGGTGTAAACCCTCCTCTACTGAGAAGGGGTCACAGCAGGGGCGGACCCAGGATTTTTTACCATGGGGTCGATCATATAGGTAAAAATGTGGGACTATATTTTATTTGTTGGGTCATAAGTAAAATAAGATTCATATTAGATAATATTTTTAAAAATAATTTTATGGTATCTACATGTAATATAATTTTCTTAAACTGACGTTCAGAGTTTACTATAAACTTTTAAATGAGATGGATGAATCATTAAAAAGTGAAAGATGTACCATAAGAATTTATTTTGGAAAAATGAGAAATAATATCAACTACATATATTATTTCTATAAATAAGTAAAGTGTAAAGTTTATGAGTTTTTTCGATATAGAAGAGAATAGACAAATAACAAACAGATATGTTGATTTATAGTTTAATACGAAAGGAGATACAAATTTTTTGAAGTACTTAGGAAAATTGAAATACTCCACAAATATAAATTTTACGTAGATTTTCAAATGACATGGATAAAATATTAAAAAGTTAAAGTTCTATTTATTAGAAAATAAAGATAATTAATACGGAGTATCACTCATATGTTTTTTTCTAAAAATGAGTAACATTTTAAATTCATTAGTTTATTTCAACATAAAAATAATTAAATAATAAAACAAACAAGAGGTCCAAAGTATAAAACTAGTCACAAAAAATAGTTTCTTACGTAGATTTTTAAATGACATGGATAAAACATTAAAAAGTTAAAGTTCTATTTAATAGGAAATAAAGATAATTAATAAGGAGTATCACTCATATATTTTTTTTCTAAAAATGAGTAACATTTTAAATTTATTTCAATATAAAAAAAATAAAACAATAAAACAAACAAGAGGTTTAAGGAACAAAAAAACTAGTCACAAAAATTAATCTAAGCCCATGCGGGTAACAAGAGGTAAAAAAAACTTGTCACAAAAATTAATCTAAGCCCATGCGGGGGTTAGGGACTCGAACTGGAGACATGATGCTGACCATTAACGCGCGCAACCATTAGGCTGTTCAACTATGTTTTAAATCTCTCAATTTCAAAACTATATATACATATATACGACAAAATGGAGTATATTACTATAAAATTACGTGGAGGTATGTGGGGTCGCATGACCCCGTATGACCCTATGTGGGTCCGCCCCTGGGTCACAGTCGCCCCAACCATCTTCACCTTGGTCCTCGCCACAACACACATGTCTTTGACTACACAAATTTAAGCAATCACAACCCCATGAACTATAGACACCTCCACATGATCTTCCTCAGTACCTTGTCAAACGCCGTCTCCAGGTCAATAAACACCAAGTGTAAGTCCCTCTTCTTGGCCATATACACCTCCATCAACCTCCTCGGGAGGTGAACGGCCTCTATAGTTGACCGTCCAACTATTTAATGTGCCACTTGGATCTAGTTCATTATTTAACCAAATCTAAAACATTGTCCAAATTACTTTTTTAGTCTATTTTCTAAATCTGGAAAACATAAAATGCACATGGTTTTTGACTTCTAGATTCTAATTATCTAGAAAATAGATATTTTAAAAGTAAATGGACCAATAAAATTTCTAATCACAAAAAAAAATCAAAGTGACGCAAGTGTTGTACCCATAGGATTCTCATTTCAATAGGTCCAATGTTCTTTTCAAACACCAAAACAGCTTTCATTTTTGAAAAAATGTTGATTTTATTTTTTGAAATAAGAAAGAGTGTTTCGGGTGTAACTGAAAGTGTTTGTTCCATACACATCTTTTTGTTGCTTATAAGTTATAGCATTTTCAATTAATTTTTAGACTACCAGAACAAATTTCACTTTCCTCACTGGAATTTTGAATAATCATATCCAAACAAAAAAACGTGTACCAAACTAAGTTATTAAATAGAAGATGGACTCTTCGCTAATGAACTATTTTGCAAGTTGAAACTCAAACACATGATAAGATGACCGAGCAGTTCAATTACACATCCAAATGTTTCTCATCATAATGTACAACTGAGATAAACAAAAGATCAAATAGATATACTCTCACTATCCCGAAAACATTACCCAGTTTAACTTTCACCGCATTTTAGAGAAGTGTTGAAAAATGAACAATGCATGATTATAAATTTTTAGTTAAGACAAATATTTTAAGTCACAATTGAGTACTTTAAATGAAAAATAAATTAAGTGGGAAATGTTCAAACTTCAAAGTGGGATGTGATTTTTGGGACAAAGGGAGTATATAGCTACGATTGTATGAATGATGAAAGTGGCAGTTCATTTGCACTATGCCACGATGTTAATAATTTCTAGATAAAATAATCAAGGCTAAGAGAGTAACTTGCCTGAGTGAAAGCCTTATGCAGTGATGACCTGATGTAATTATCAACTCTGCAGTATGCAACATCACCTTCTTGCTTCTTATGATACTCATTAGACATGCCTTCCACTAATTTCGCAATTAGAGTTGCAATAGACAATACACTTTGCATGATATCAATATTACTCCTGTAAAAGTTATAGTGATAAGCAAGAAGCTTCTTTTCGGCCCATCCTAGGATCAAGCCAAGTGTAGAACTCAAAAGCTTCACGTAAGTTGAATCTTTTGCTGTTTGTGCATCATCATTTACTTCTAACAACAAAATCTCAGCAGCAAATAGCAGATCATCGTCATTTTGGCCAGAAATAACATAGTGATGGAACAGGACCCACAAAAAACAAATGTTATGCAGCATTTGGTCTATTCCAAGAATTACCCACGTCTTTTTAATGATTTCTAAGAATTCATCAACTTCTTCAATTATAGTTGTTGCGTCATCCACCTCGAAGCATGCTTCTAAAAGTTTTTCATAGAGCCGAAGATTTAACGGGATCCCATCTGCCCAATGGCATACCTGAGAGACAGAACCATCAAAAGACCTGGATGCGAGAGATAATACAACATTGCGGAGCCCTTGCATTGAATTGCTGTACTTCCCTGTATCTATGGGTGTTATCATAGCCCCATGTATAATTTCACTGAGCTGTAGAAACTGCGAGTCTGTGTGGAGAAGGGGCAAGGATGGATGTAACAGTAACCCCGCTTCAAGTACCATCAAGATCCTCCTCTGCCATGCCTCATATTTTTGCTGACTAGGAAAATCAGAAATCTTAAGGTGTTGTAAGAGCTCCATTGGCAAAACATATGATTCAATACGCCTTCCGAGCTAATATCAAGCCAAACAAGGAAACACTGATTACTGAATGACATACAGGATATAATGCTGTTTAATGCAACTTATACCAATTTCCTTTTAAATCAACATTGTGTACAATCAGGCTTCAATTGACTGTTGACAGTTAGGCTGTCCACTTTAGGAGCGGTCAAGGAAAACGATAACATATTGCAAGTCTGGATGCAACTGCAAATGATGGAATAACTTTTTCCTTAACACAAAATTTATGCTCGCTTTTAAGTGCAAATCTTATACTCATTTTTATAGGCATAACAATGCAATACGAGAGTGGCAAATGAAATCAGAACTTAGGCTCATCTGGTTAAAACAAATTGTTAGAATCATGAATCAAATATTATAGCTTTTCGCAATAACATTTATCAGGAAATAAAATTTGTGGAAAAAACAAATAATTACTATCTTATTCCACATTCCAATCTACTAAGGTATCATAAGCACATCATTAACTGACCTGTCCTGCAGCTACTCTCAACAACCCTCTTCTGACCCTTGAATCCGTTTGCTCGGAAACCTTCATCTGAACCCTAATCAGCTCCCCAACAGTGGAAGCTGGCTGTGGGCTCACTGAATTCCAATCCTCACCCGCATCCGCCATAGAATCCGAGCTATTCTTTTTCTTGGACTTCAATCCCAGAGCCTTCTTCACCTTGCTAGGAGCAGAAGCCGGCATCGACCGCTGAAACAAGAAGGAAGACATGGACTCCGACCTCTCCAAACCATTCCGATCGGCGGAATTGGAGACGTATTTCAAGGGCCGACCCGATCCTGAGCTCCTGCAAGCCCCGATAACGATCTCGTAGGCGGTCTCCCGGAGATCCGTGCCTGTCAGGCCAACACCCAATTCCCCGAACGGATTAGGGATTTCGGAGTCGAGGGAAGAAATGGGAAGCATTGTTCCTGGTTCTTGGTGGCAGTGAATTCTGGACTACGCCTGAGATTTTGCATCTATGTAAGCATAAGAAACATCCATAGCCGAGAGATCACATGAAACAACCTAGCACTGAGCCAAGTGCACCATTGAGGAAAGGTGTTTTTTTTTGGAAATCAAAAGAGCTGATGTAGAAATAAAATGAAAAGAGATGTTTAAAATGAACTTCTAACATTTAAACATTACTTTTAATATTTGCAAATGTTTGTAAAAGGCGAGTTTAAAAGTGAGGTTCAAATTTTAAGGTCAAAATAGTACGTAGTATATTCTTAAAATTAAACTACTACCATTCATGTCAAGTATTGTTCAAAATAACCATCACTTGCATTGCTCTCAAGAATGATATGCATCCAACTTTTATCTTTGCTCCAACTCAAAGTTTCTCTTTTTCATGCATTGCATAGTTGCCCTCTTTATTAATGTTTTTGCTGCAACAAATTAACATTGTGATCACAAATTATAAAAGTATATCCCACCTAATCTTCAACAAGGCACACTGTAGTATCAACATTAATTATATATAAAGTATAAAAAAATAGTATATATATTCTAATGTTGTCAATTTTTCAACTTTATCTGTTTTTGAAGTAACTATTATACATTTGGATGTACCAATTGAAACATTAGAATGTTGCAGTTAAGTAATTCATTCTTTCATCTGAAGTGGCCACAGAGTTGAAGTCGCCCATTATTACCCAAGGCATCTTAACAGCAATAGCAATGCTAGAGAGATTGTCCCAAGTTTTTCTTGATGGTTAAACAGTACAGGGCATACACAAAGGAAATAGCAACGACTTTGTGGGTGACATTACAATCCACTATACAACGAACACCCAGATCAATATTCTCCACAATAATGCAATTAACAAACTTAATATCTCAAAAAATAAGCATACACCCTCCATTAATGCTATCAAAATTGATGGTGAAGTTCCAACTAGGGAGTCTATTAGTAGAAAAAGTCTCTGAGTGGCTTCACTCATCTTGAGCCCTTCCCCCCATGTTTTCTTACCCACTTTCTTGTTTCCACTATTTTTGTTTCTAACACTACTTTTGTTCCCTCCCCCAATTCTACTAGTTGTGAATTGAGTGGGTCGTGCAGTGTCCTTTCCTTCATTGATTTTCTCCTCTTTTCCATTTTTAGCATTGGGTATGGTTCCGGTTTCGAAACCTCCGGTTCTGTTACCGCCGCCATAGGGGACCATTATCGGCGGTTCCGAGACCGCCCTAGGCCTTGACTCAAGAGTTAACCGGCCGAATATGGTTGAACTGGGTCAACGACTCAGTCAACATATCTTACAAGTGTTCTTATATACTCCATATTGTTTAATATTTTAAACTTATAATTAGTTGATTAAAATAAGAAAACATAAAACATAAATTGAACTATATTTATTTATAATTAGGGAATATTACTTGATTTTTTAGGGTGATAATAATTTTTAGATAAATTATTCCTATAAGTGTTCTTATATACTCCATACTATTTAACTATTCCTACAAGTGTTCTTATATACTCCATACTATTTAATATTCTAAACTTATATTTTGTTGATAAAAATAAGAAAATAATAAAGACAAATTGAAGTATATGATAGAATTTAGGATTGGGTAGAGATAACTGGACTGAGTAATAAGACACTTAGGTTGACCACTTGCAAATGAACTCTCATTCCCTTGACTTTTTTTTTGAGCGCCAACACCTAAAGGACCACGAGCCGCTGGGTATGGACTTCCAGACGAGCAATCGTGTTAAACGGGCCACAGGCCATTGGGTACATACTCCATACGCAACACAAGGCTAAAGACAAACGGGCCGCTAGGAATGAACGTCTAGACGGACACCTTGACAAAGGAGGAAGGCCAAAACCTTCTCTAATACCATGATAGAATTTAGGATTGGGTAGAGATAACTGGATTGGGTAATAAGACACTTCGGTTGAACCACATTAAAAGATTGAATTCAATCGATTAGTTAGTTCAACTCAAGAGCTTATATACTGGTTAATTTCCTCAAACTTTTCCGATGTGGGATGCTCTTTAACAGTATATTTATTTATAATTAGTGAACCTTACTTGATTATTTAGAATGATAATAATTTTTAGATAAATTATTCATATTTGTTTTTACATAAAAAATATTTTCTTCTTTTAATTACTTTTAAATTTTGTAAAATAAGCTTACATTTCACAAACATAACTCCTTTTTCTAAATAATTGAAGGTTGTTTTAGATACTCGCAGGTCATGTTCATGTTTCAAAATATATTTAGTTTTACACGAATTATTATCCGAAAGGTGTAATAGCTTAGCTGGCTACATGGTCATTTAGCTAGCATGCATATCACATTGTCGATTCTTGCTCACGATATCCTATTTTTTAAGAGCACTCCATAAATAATTTAATAGAACAACGGAAAAAAATCTAGACCTATGAACCTGACAGGTTGATCCGAGTTTGACGGTTTTGACAGATCAAAATGGGTTTCACTCGGTTTTATAAAAGCAAGTCTTTAGATTGAACTACACCGGACACTTCGAGGTCATAGTCTGGCTAGTTGAACTGATCGATCCAGTCCAAATTTAAGAACATTGCTTTTAATGGGAAGCCTTGTTCTGCTCCTTTAAAGTAGCTCCCCTCAACGAACAGCCCAAACGGTGGAACTCAGTGTAGCGGTTCAGCAGCGGTCAGCACCAAACCTCATTGGCACTTCAGTGGCTCCTAGTGACTCGAAGAGCAGTGCCCCACCACGTCTTGGCCCAATAAGAAGCAACCTCCTCCCACCGATAGCCTATAACAGCGACAACATACCTTTTGCTAGAAGGAAACAGGGCAGCAGCGAGAGCAATAGATGGATAAGATAATAGTGTCACAAGTTCTCCACCTCCGGTGAAAGCAACACCAACCGACGCCTGGTCCCTTGTGGTCGTCCAGCAGTAGAGGCCCACTCTAGCGATGTAACGCCCTGAAACCCGGTCTAACAGAATTAATTAATTAAAGATAATTAATTAATAAATGATGCGGACTCGGTGTAAGTTGGAACTATTATTTGTTTGACCAAAAGGTTTATACCATTGTGTAGGATTCGACAGAATGAATCCAACATGATATAAACAATATTCATTATTCAATTGTTCTACAGTGCTTTGAAATTATTCTTAATCTAAGGCCAAGTCAAACTCTTAAACTATTCCTAGTATAAGGCAATATTTCTCACCAGGCTCTTAAACTATAAATAGTTTAAGGCAGAACACAAGAATCGATAATCCACCCTATGAGTTGTGTGAATCACGTACCAATCGAACAGTGAACTGTCGGGCGGGTGATATCCGATTTTGATCCCATACCAAATTTCTGAATTGGTCACATAGGTATATCTTAGAATTCTTCTAAATATCCTTAATAGTCATCATCAATTTCCAAATGGGTATATCTTAGAGTCTTCTAGATACCCTTAACAATACACATTATTTTCATATATATTCATTGATATATTTATTTTTACTCATAAACCAATCATTCACATTAATCATTTTAATCAGAATATTTGACAAGTTTTAAATCATTAATCATATCAATCAATAATAATCATCATAATATTCAATAGCAATGAGCGGCCTAGCATCGAGTGTTAACACCCTAGCTTACCGTCATGCACCAAACAAGATTTTATTTAAAAACATTATTTTTATTCAAAGAAATCATCTTTATATTGATCTTAATTGATTGGTATCAAAAATAAGATTTTAGGGATAAAAAATAACTAACATTTTTAGAAAAATATTCGGGTTGGACAGCTTGGGTGATCGACCCAGCACCCAGGATCGATCCAACCCGCAAGATCAATCCCAGGTGATCGATCCAACACTATGGATCGACGAAGTATGTTTTTACTACATGTGATTGATCCAACATCCTGGATCAATCCACCAAAGTATTTTGTTACTGTTCTTCGTTTTAGAATAAGTGACCAACACTACTTTTGTTAAGCTTACGGGTGCTTAACAAACCGTTACAACCTGAGAACTCGAGTCCCACGAGCCTCAACAACACTTTCTCGGAGATACCGCACTCCAAAACTTCAACCCGAAGGAAAATACCTTTCCTTCGTACAACCAATGGAAACAAGCTTCCCTTAACGTGTATACTACACTAAAAGCACTCAAGAACAAGACTCTCTTTGAGAGTAGATGTTGAGTAAAATATATACGCTCAAGAACAACTCAAACCTCACACAATTTGGCTCTAGAAAGTTATGGAAAAAGATGTTATACGAATGCAATGATAATGTGTGTAATGTGAAGTGAATTGATGTGTAATGCAGACCCAAACACCCCTTTTTATAGTGCCAAAGTAGGCTCCAACGGATCAAAACATTTAAGGGGTGATTAGCATGATTTGTGGAATTGATACTAAAATGTGGATATACAGGAAATTAGCTTACCCAGCGATGTAGGGAACTACCCATCGCTGGTAAGCCATTTTTCCTTCAGTTTTAAAGACAACGGTCACCTACCCATGGATGGGTAAGAACTTCCCATCGCTGGGTGGGAGGTTAACTTTCAAATAAGGAAAAAATCAGGCTTAAATGCCTTACAACGCTCATGCCTACCCATCGATGTGTAATATCTCCCATCGCTGGGTGGCATAGTTCTGGAATCCAGGATCACTTACCCATGGATGGGTAATATCTCCCATCCCTGGGTGGCATGGTTCTGGAATCAAGCTGAGCTAAAGGATCACTTACCCATGGATGGGTAATGTCTCCCATCGCTGGGTTGATGGCTAGTCCAGAAACCTATAGTTTTTGCCTGAACCATGGCCTAGCCGACCGATGCTGAAATCCGACCAAAAAATGTGAAGTTCTCCAAAATAAAAAACCAAGTGTTTAAAACACTTATTTCATGTATTTTTATGTCAAAACAAGCTTTGAAAGTTGAAAACCACGTCGTTAAGGTAAAAACCACGGTTTACCTAGTCAACACCGTACATGGGTGGTTTTTACCAAAAGACAAAGCCGAAAGGTGGTTTTCATGATGTTTTGATTGGAGAACCATTTAAATGCATTCAAGAACAATTCCCACACAAAAGGACTCGAAAACCAAGTGGTTGGTTTGAACACCGAAAACCAACGCCGATAGCCGTTTCACATGGTTTTTACCAAACTACAAAAAACGAAAGGTGATTTCAGATGCCAAAAACCAAAGCCGATAACCGAATGCCGAACGCCGATTTCCGAAAGCCGAACCCCGGATGGCTTGTTTTTTGGTTTGGGCGAACACCAAGTGTTTTTAATATGTTTAAGCATGTTTGAAAGTCATTTTGATGATATGTGAAATGCCAAAGTGCAAAGCTTGGGTCGGTCTTGATCACATTGTGACCGACTCAACGACACTAAAAACTACGGTCTTTGTTCTTGGTCTCTTTTAGTTCTTGTTCTCTTGCTTTCTTTTCCTCTTTATTTCTTGCTTGTATATTTAACTATTTTTCTCGTTCACGGTGGTTTGGAATTATCAAAACCTGTCATGAAAATGAACACGGCTTTAGTACGATGAAGTGGTAAGCCCGTGTTTCAACACATCGTCTTCAACCTTCAGCTACTTTTCTCCAACTTCAGTTTAGGTCACCCAACATTAATTATATTATATATAAATATTCTCCAAGGTTCATAGATCATTTTGATATCATTAATTCATAGTTTTAACAACAATTTCAAGGCTTATATTCTTGGTTCTTCAAGCATGTCAAACACAAAACTCAACCAAACGACCGTTTATGAACGTATAATCGATTTATACGAACATTCTAGTCACTAAATATATCTACGGGCTTACCTCGAGCTTAAACAATGGTTTTGGAAATTTTCCAGTGAAACTTCCGGCGACGTTTACTCCCAACTCCGACGACCTCGGCGGCAACGAACAATAGCTGACTGCTCCCCTCACTCTCAGGATTCTTATGGGACAATTTTTAGAAAGTTTTGTGAAGGAATGAGAGGAATGAAGGTACCCATTTATAGTAGTTGGGGGAAGGACATTGTCAATTCCTACCGAGTCATTGGTGGTTCACGATCGGGGCTTAGTGGATTCAGCTGTGATATGTAGGATTTTACACACCACTCCTTGATTGGGACAAATTTGGTTCCAGTCGGGGTTCACTGTTTGTCCAACTTCCTCTGAATTAAAATCTGTTTGTAGCGTTGCGATAAGACACCACTACAAAAACGACCAAATAAATCCCCCCATTTGCATTGTTAAGCAAAACAAACGATCTATATGTCAAAAAAATTCGCTTACCGCTTAGCTTTTGGATCGGTTATTCCTAATAACCGATTCAAAAGGTATTTGAATCGGTTATTAGGAATAACCAATCCAAAAGTTAAGACTCTTTTGAGTCAGTTATTCCTAATAACCGATTCAAATACCTTTTGAATCGGTTATTAGGAATAACCGATCCAAAAGCTAAGCGGTGCGCGAATTTTTTTTGCCATTTACATCGTTTGTTTTGCTTAACGATGCAAATGGGGGGATTTATTTGGTCATTTTTGTAGTAGTGGTAATTGAATAATAATAATAATTCAATAATAATTTTAGGGTATGTTTTGAGGTGTTACAACTCCTTTGACACTTTTGCATTCAGAAGTGTTGTGGGAGTCAAACTTATGGTACGAACAATATTTGTCCGACCATTGGCGTCCGAAGTTTCCTCCCGGATTGACCGGTTCCTTCCTCACTTCGTGGCACTCCTCCACCTTAACCATGTGTATGACCAGGTCATAATGGTGTTTGGGCTTGCTGGGCCCAGGAACATCTTCCTTCTTCACGTGCACCGGCTTGGGCTTGTGGTCGTGCTCTACTTCCTTCTTCACCCGGTCTTGGGTTTCGGCTTCGGCAAATTTTCAAGCCGTGTGGTAAGCCTCTCGATAAGTGGTAGGTGGCATCCGGAAAACTCTTTGTATAGTTCCCCAGCGCGCAGGCCTAGGTTACACTAGGACGGGTGCGGGTACATATATGTGGACGGGGACGGATTCGGGAATGGGCATTTTTAAAAATTTAAGGATGCGGGGACGACAAGGATTCGGAAACAAAAAATAATTAAAATATTAAATATAGGCATGTAAATGTTAAAAATAATATTCTACTTAATTAACATAAAACAATCCAATGACGTACTTAATTAGCATAAAAAGTAAAATGGAATACTTGTAACATCAAAATTATCATGTTTGGAAAAATGAATAAATAAAAAATAAACATAGTTTTTGAAATCCTCTAATAAAAACATCACTACTTGTCAACACCCTCTGAGATCAACACATTTTCTAACTCTGGTTCATCAAGGGAGAGTTCTGCAAACTCTAAAAATCCGGCATCATCAAAAGAGTCAAATCTGTCACCACTCACATCCCACATCTTCGCCCTTTCTTTTTCATATTGACCAGAACTTCTAGATAAAAGACGTAGATTGTTATGTACAAAAACCAAATCTTCAGCACGACTTGGATTTAACCTATTTCTCTTCAACGAATGAATAAAAGAGTATGTACTCCAGTTTCGCGCACAACAAGATATATGAAGATGATGGTTGCCCAAGCATTTTGAATGCTAAAGATTGTAGATGAGGAGTTTTAGCACCGAAGTTAGCCCACCAGTTTCTAGGATCTGAGGTGTATCTCATTAAAAGAGATGTTAAATCATCAAAAGGCCCATTCTTCAGTGAACATTGTGTATATTCTTCAAGAACTTTAGTATGCTCCTCGTCATTCGGAAATAACCTACAAAAGCACTTCCTCCTCTCTCTTGAAATTTCAGGATCTTGATGAGGAGCTACTCTATTGGAATCTTCATTCAACCATCCATCGCTATAAAACCTTCAAGTTGTAAGATGATATTAAAAGATAACACATGTCAATAAAAAATAAAGTGTAGTAAAATAATAATAATAAACTTAAAGAATACCTTGGATTTAACGAGTGAGCTAGACAATGAAGTGGAGTACTACTCTTTGTCCAACGAGCGACCAAAATATCATAAACCACATCATAGAATGGACTAACATCTGTAACAGGACGATCTTCTTTTTTATAAATTGCAAGCTTAACCCTCTCAATCATAGAGTCCCACATCTCATAAACTAAGTGAAGACATGGTTTATCAATATCACATGCTCTTATCATCTTATAAATCGGATCTGTGAACTGAATAATGTATTCCACTTTATCCCACCATTTATCACTTAAAACCTTTTCTTTCACAAAAGCTGCAGCCCCTGAGCTATCCTCTTTGTATGAAATCCATTCATCACTTATGACCATTGATTGAAGACCTCGCCTAATTAGCTTAAACCTCTTCAACATCACAATGATTGATGCAAAACGAGTATCAACAACTGAAAGTAATTGAAGAGGGCTAAATCGAGTAAAGATGGCAAGTTTCATGGTGTGGTTCATGATAATTTTTTTTATATGAACAACATCATAATGAACTTCAGTAATCCAACTACGTTAATCATATGAAGTATCATTGTCATCTACATCTGCAGTCGCGCAAATATTCTTCAAAGCAAGATTAAGTGTGTGGATAACACACGGAGTCCAATAAATATGAGGGTACATGCTTTCAATAATCGCTCCTGCCCCTTTGCAATTAGCCGAATTGTCTGTTACAATTTGAACCACATTTTGATGTCCCACTTCATCAATGACTTCTTTCATAAGTTGTGCAATGAAAGCTTTGTCTTTTACTTCAACACAACAATTCACGGCTTTAAGAAACATCGGACCATTTCCAGATGTTGCCATGAAATTAATCAATGGCTTTCTTTTGGGATCACTCCATCCATCACTACATATTGTCAGTCCTTTTTCAGGCCAAGTTCCCTTTAAGGTTGAATAACCTCTCGACATTAGCTTTTTCTTGTTGAAGCAAAGTAGTACGCAACTTATTATAACTAGGAGGAACATAACCATGCCAATTATGAGATGCAGCAAAAGCATAAGACCGCAAATAATGAGGATTTCTCGTCAGATTAAAGGACAACTTAAACCTCCTGTAAAGTACATTCTCCCTATTTCTTGATCTAGTTGCGTTCTAGCATCCACATCATAACATTTCATTTGAGGATTAGACTGCACATCTTGTTTTCGTTTCTTATAAGAAACATCCACATCCATTACCACACCACAAGGCAAAGGAACATCTTTAGGTTGCAAATTTTTCTTCGTCTTCTCGTACTCATCTTCCTCATTTTTCATTTTAATCCTGTCATTGAGATTGACTTTCTTACATATTGCAATCCCTTGATTTTTTCGTGAAGCCAGTGAGCCTTCACTCTAGAGTAACTCCATACTCGTGCCTCATTACAAAAGGTGCATTTAAATTGCCAAGTTCCTCCTGTCGCTCCTATTTTCTCTAATTTAGTGACATACTTCCACAATGGCAATGCATTCTCATTGGACTCATTGGAATTAACTGTGGAACTACTTTCACTCACTTGTTGAGAACCCATATTTAGGTAACAATATAGAACTGTTCAGAAGAAAAATTTAAATCACAATGACAAAAATTTAAATAGTAAAAACAAGAATGTGATAATAATCATAAAACACAATTAATTTAATAAACAATGACAACTAATTAAAAAACTAAATTAATACAGTAATAAACAATGGTCCAAACTATACTCATACTAAAATAATCTATATTAGTAAAATAATCAATGGTCCAAACTAGATTTATACAGTATCTAAAAATAATCTAAAAAACAGTAATAAGAAAAGGAATAAACAATGGTCCAAAAAACAATAATACAGTAATAAACAATGGTCTAAACTAGATTAGAAAAATAATCTAAAAAAAGAAAAGAAAAAGCAGTGCTTCAGATTCGTCAAAAAAAGAAGTAGTAGTGCTTTGGTCTCTGGTTCCGAAAAGGGGGGGGGATTTAAATTTTGGTAAAAAGAAAAGGAATTAACTTACATTGTCGCCGAAAAAAGAAAAGGAATTAACGGGAATTAAAGCTCTAGATCCCTTCCCGTCGGTGGTAGAAGCCTCTGCTCTGAATTGGTTCGTTTGGAAGAAGCGGAGGATCCAGGTCTCTCAATTATATTAAATTACTTTCCAAATCCTAATCCTATTTGGTCAAATCTTTTTAAAAAAATTACCAATTTCAAATTTGTACCCAATTCCTACCCGATTTGTCCAGATCCGTTCGTATCCAAGATGCCAACGAATCCAAACCTGTCGATACGTTTCGGGTACGACAACTGCTATCCCCGCCAGCGACGATTCCTGTGCCCGAGGAGGTAGTGAAGAGCCAATTCCGTGCAACCTAGGCGCAAACCATTCAGCAAACAAGACCATCTTGCCATCCATCCCCTCGACCTTGTCCACCTCATGCTTCCACCGGGTAAGGAACTTAGGCTCCGTTCCGTTCAACTTATTTTTTCTAATTTGATGTGATTTTGATAAGTTCTGATCTGATTGGATCTGATTTGATCTGATTGGATCTGATCTGATGTGGTCTGATTTGATTGGATCTGATCTTATCTGATTGGATCTGATCTTATCTCGTTTGATCTGATCTGATTAATTATGATTTGATTTAAAATTCAAATCAATAATTTGATTTGACTTTATAAAACGTTTGAAAATTGTAATGATAATTCATATTATAATATAATCAATTTTTTATTTTATGATTATTTTTAATAAAATAAAATTAGTTAATTCATATATTAGAATAATCATTCATATTATAATGTAATAATATTTTTTATTTTATGATTAGTTTTTTGTGAAATTATAATATTAATTTAATATTTTAATAATTATTTCATATATACATTAGAAAAAATATTTAATTTATAAATACATTAAAAAATAATTACATTTAGATAATCAATATATAGAAGATATACTATTTTTATTAACATATATCATCCTTATAAAAGATTAAAATTTTAGAAACTCAAATTACAAGTAGCAATAAAAATATATTTTAAAAGTAGAATTAAATTGACATTGTCAATGTATTTTAAAAATAATTTTTTCGACATCTAATAATTAAGGATTTTTTCTCTGTTTTCTATGTAACTTGTTTCTAAATTTTATTATTTTTCATTTTTAAGAATAATAATGATAATGATGATGATGATGATGATGATGATGATGATGATGATGATGATGATGATGATGATGATGATAATAATAATAATAATAATAATAATAATAATAATTCTTCATGGGATCTAATCTGATATGATTGGATCTGATCTGGTCTGATTTTAATAAGAATAAGAAAAATAAGAAAAAATAAGTTGAACGGAACGGGGCCTTAGTCAGGTTTTCAGATTCCCTTTTCCCGGCTCTACTCAGATAGGTGAATTTCTTCCTCTTCGTGCAATTTTCTTGGACTTGGCCTTGAATTTTGAGGCCAGTTCATTAAATGAGTCAATACCTCTTGAGGGGAGTTCATTGAACCATTCTGTGACCCTACCTTGCAAGGTCTGGAAGAAAAGAAGGCATTTTTCTTCACGAGTGCATCCCATAATGGTTGCACTTAGGATAAAATAATCCAAGTGTATCTCGTGATCTTCCTTCCCCGTGAATTTTGGTGCTTCCACCTTTACCTTCCGGGAAAAGGTGTTAGGTGGACCCTCGCAGTGAAGCAGGAATCCGCAAGGGGTTTCTCTGTGTCATTTTTCTCCTCCACCCTTCTTTCTGGAAAATCCAGCTTTGCCTCCATCCATTGCACCCAGTCTCCCGGGTTTTCAACCTACTTCTCACATGTTTGTATGGCTCACGACGCGAAACCCGGGATTTAGCGGGTTCAACCTTATTTGACCGGGTGCGATGGGTACGGGCAGCCTCGGCCTCCCTTCCCTCGCCCAACCGGGCAAAAACTCTGACATGTGCTGCACTATGTCCCAACCTGAGCTTCACAAATTTTTGCTGGAACTCTTCTCTCTCCCCTAGCCTTTCGAAGGCAGAGTCATAAAAAGTTGTAGGTTTCTGGCCTTGCCCCTCTTCTTGTGAGCCCTTGGAATATCTCATTCTTTATCTCCTCTTTAAATAGAGATGCAATGGCCATCTAGGGTACCCTGGGGATGGTGTGTACTTTGGGGAGGGCGAGATGGACCGGTGGCGTTTAATGCACCGGTCAAATTAACCAGGGCCATGGTGGTGACCACCTATGGCTGGAAAGGTGATGGCTGGGGCACTGGCATCTGGAAAGGAGACGCTGTCATCAGAACTTGCAGCGGCAATGTTCTGGCGCTTGGGAGAGCGAATGGAACATTCCCATGAGGAAGGGCATCCCTTCTTTCTGTTGACACATGGCCATGACCTGGCTGAAGCTTTGGATCGCTTGCAAGTTGGTCGGGTTATTCATGAACTGGGTCATGCTAGGGGGGAAATGTGACCCTTGGCTCGGCAGACGGGATAGTCGTGACCACCGTCATGGTCATTCCTTCAGTGATGGCTTGCACCAGGGCAGAAGTTTTTTTGTTCAATTGGCTTGAAGACATTCTGAGAAAGAGGTGTTTCCGTGAGTAGGTTCTTAGGATGAAAAAGAAACCTTATCGATCCCACAGATGGCGCCAAAAATGATGGTGTAAATTAACCACCGAGTAAACAGTACAAGACCAAGTTTAGGATTATTTACTGGCTTCGAGAAAGTGAAAGATAGTAAATGCAAAGGTTAACCAGGAGGACTGTAGGTAGAAACACCTGTAGCACAATTTTTGTTAGAATATAGTAAAGTGCACGAAAGTTATTACACAAGGGTTTTAGAGGGAAGAATTCAGATCCCTTCCTTTGAGGGTTATACAGGTATTTATAAGGAAAGAGAGGGGACAGATCACCGCGTGTCCACGTCGACCCATGTTATCTGATGGTGCGAGGTGGCTTCCCCTTTGTCTCGTAGCATTTTGTCTCATTCCCTTGTCGTTGGGTGTTGGTGAATCCTCTTTCGGCATGTAGTGTCCAACAGAAATTGAGGGAATATTTTCCAAATCTCTCGTTGAAAATCGGTCACTATCGTCTAAACAATCTTGGTGTTATTCGTGCCGACACTTTTACACCATAGAAAACTACCCGGTAGGTTTATCCTTTATGTTTTGAAGGGTCGGAAGTCCGCCAGCTCGAAGTCATATACTTTGACCTATGGCTTTATTTATGGCATCGGTCAACTTTTCAAACTTCAACCGGTGGCCTATTTTTAATTTAAATCTTCCATGCTGTCATGTCTGCGAATTGACCGGTTACTTTACGCAGACCGATTTCAGATCGGGTTCTGGGTGGGATACACCCATCAGACATAATTATTGAGTTGTACTTTTGCACCATTAAATTGGGTAATTATACAATAAAATAATTATGGTTGTCGTTGTGACTAAATAATTACTCCGGATGTATCATTAGCGTATTAAAGTCGGAGTGGTTTTATTTAGGTGAACTGCGAGAGCGTCCCTAAATACTTTTCTGCAACCCCACACATTCTTTATAAAAATAAATTGACAATCCAACTTTTATAAAAACATTGGACAATTAATTTACCAATTTCTATCCCTAATCTTTCATTATCAAAAACTTTGTATTGTTTGGAACTCTCTTCTTTTACACTCTTTATTTTATCTCTAAAACCTAAAACAACCATAAAAATATTTTTACAACTTTTTTCGTAAACTTTTTTTAAAATTAAATCAACTCACTTCTCCCTGAGGTTCGACACCCTACTTACAAGGGTTCTTTTTAGTTGTTATTTTTGCCTGTTCATATTGCAAATCATTGACTCTGTTAATATTTATTATGTCCAGAGACACCTAAAGTGCTTATTTACTGCCAAAAAAGTCGAACATCCAAAGATATGATTGAAGTCCTGCAAAGAATAGATAATTTTCTTCACTTTTGAATATATCCCTTGTAAGGTATACTTTCTTTACTGACTATTTAGTAAAATACGATATCTTTGAATTTTATTTTTGTTTGTATAAACATAGTATGTCATACACATGTTCTAATCAAACATCATTTCGTTTTCATGGTTGTGTAAAGTGGTAGGGCACGCGCCTGATTCTGTAAGAGTATATAGGGGATTAAGCCCTAAATCATCCCTTTGAAATGTTCACACTTCACTCTTATATATGTGATTCTTAAAATATCCCAATTTCTCCACTTTGACTGACATGTCTAATGTTCAAGAGTCATTAACACATATAAAATATTCTATCCTCATCATTTTCGAGAGTCACTATCTTAAGAAGGAATGGAAGGGATTGGTCGGAATATCGGCACCAACCCAACAGTGAATGCGTTTCATCTTACAAGTAGGTTGTCTAGTTGAACCTGTATGCCAATTCAACCAAGTTGGATTTTCCTTCATAACACTTTTCTACCACAAGGGCTTCAAACCCAATCCTACTAACAATGTTTCATGCTACTTATTTATTAATCCTTTAGTTAGCACGGCTACTAAATTATATTTTGACTTTACATAGTCAATTCTGATCAGTGGCGGAGCCAAGTGGAGACTTGTGACTGCAATTGGAGTCACTGAAAATTTAAAAAAAAAATTACTAGTATATCATACCAAGCCATCCTAACAAAAATTGAAGAATCCTTATAAACCCAAATAGAAAACCTGCAAATTCAAAACCTTATCATAAAAAGTGGTGCTTTTGAAGTTCAACAGTCTTCTTGAAGCGATTGTCTCTTAGCGAATCAATTTTTTGCCCCCACTGTCCAAACTTCCTGGCTCCCCCATTGATTGTGAGTGAGAAGTTGTTTAATGGCGTTGTGACTACGATGAATGTATTTAGACTTATCATTATACGAAGTACATGTTGCTCTTAGCATGTTCTATGTTTGGGGATTTTTTTATATTCTCAGTGGATTAGAAGCCATCACCTTTGTTATGTAGATCGGACCAGGCTCATTATTAGAAAATTGTCACATACAGCTTCATGAATAAGCATATATATTTTTTTGAGTTAGATTCTTTTGTCTTTAAGAACTGCGGAGTAGTACTATTATAACATTGGTCCATTAAAAGTATTTACAATATTTCATAATATGCGAAAATGGTTTACCCATTCCTCCTCTCTATTTTGCCGAAATGCTACCGTATGTATTATAACATTTTTGACAAAATGGAGAGGGTGCAAGAATAGTGGGAATAAGGCCATATTCTTTTGGATTGGAATTTTAGAGTTGGATGTTGGAAGAAACTGGAAAGAGTTAGAAAATGTTGGAAGTTTTAAGTGTTAAAAAATCACTCAATTAAATGATCATCTAAATACATAGGTAAGGAAATTCTAATTTTGGATAAAAAAATTCATCATTTTCCGTGTTTGAGGTGCTATGTTTTAAATTTGGATATAATATTATTTTATATTAATTATACACACACACACACACACATATATATATACACACACATACACACACACACATACATACACACATACATACCTACATACATACATACATACATACATACATATATATATATATATATATATATATATATATATATGT